GATGTGATGTACTTGGCCGAAAGTATGAAAACACAGCCTTTACGAAAGCGTCCACATCGCGAGTCTCTAATTGCTACTATTGATTTTATTTTAATAAAGTGAGCTTGCTTCCCTATTTAATATATTTTGGCTTTTATCTTCAATCCTCTTCTGTAACAATGTTAATTTCCCCGCTGTGGGACGAGTAAAGGATTTCCTACTCTGATTCAACATTGGCAGACAAATATAAAAGAAAAAACGATTAAAGAATTTGTAACTCATTCAGAAAAGCACAAGAGAAAAGTTGAGATTCTTGCATTGAGTCTTTAGAAACTGATGCTTGACGTTCGATAGGGGACAGACGTCTGATTTCAATAAACATTCACATTTCCTTAATTTAGCTTTTCTAAGTTTTAAGGAGAAGTAGGGATAATGGGAAACAGGGATGCATTTAAAGGTGGGGTAGGTAAGTTTGAGAAACCGGCTCGAGATACACTTTTTGTTATATTCCATGGAATGCTCTTAACATCCCGATAGCAATGAATATCTTAAGTGCTTTGACAAAAAATCCATAAAAAAATGTCATCTGTGGAAGCCGTAATACTGTAAAAAGCACGACCAATCATTTTAGCCGGCCCGGCTAAAATAACTGGATGGCCTACCTGCCTGTCAGCCTTCCATCTGTGCACAAACTTATCTCGTGCCCTCATTGGTCATGTGCGCGTTCGTGTGTGTTGGAGGAGGGGCTCTGTAAGGAAGTGGCAGATTTTCTCCGGTTGTGTATTTTCAAATTCTAGCGATCTCGAGCCGGTTTCTCAAACTTACCTACCCTACCTTTAAGGGTATTTTAACACATCATATAAAACCAGCCAATGGGAACACTGGAGCCGAGTCAGCTGTAACAGATGGTGTATTGCTAGAATAATGGAGAGAAGTTATGTTGAAAAGGTTAACTCAGTTGTAGATAAGCAGTCTTTGTAAGCTGGTTACTGACAGAAAACCTGTTTGTAGTGTTTCTGGTCCAGTTGTCCTAGTCTTCTGTCCCCGGGGCCCAGTTTGAGTGTGTGTTGGGAACTTGTAACTCACAGCTGTGACTCCTCCCTGTCCATGATGTGGTTTTCTCTCTTCATTGATCACAGATTTCAGACCTCAGCGTCTCTTCTTCTTCTTCTTCTACAGGCTGCCAGGCAACAAATATAATAAGACATCTGTAGAAAACTAAACAAACAAAAGCATATTTTAAGGTGTGAGCTTAAAGCTGTTTGACGAAGGACAAAGCTTTAACTGCATCTAACACATTGGGGGTTTTCTCTATTTTTTGTGAGCATAACTACAAGTTCCTAATGACAAATGAGCTCCTTGGTTATGAAGGGTGTGGCTGTGCATCTGTACTCAAGGTACTGACTGAAATGTACCAGTACTATGAAGTATTGAAACGTACCCACATCAATCCTTTTTGTACATTCCATTACAGCTGACCCTTTCATCCAAAGCCACCCACAATAAGTACAATCAACCATGAGGATACAGCACTATCTGTATGGTTTCCCCCGCAGCAAATCACCACAAACATTTCACAATTCGATGTGTAATTGTCTCACTGGTGCAGCTACAACCCATCGTGCTGATTTGCAACCAAAACGTCATAAAGTACAGCTTTACTACTGTAAAAAAAGTGTACCTTAAACTTCATCTTTCACCTGTATTTTGTTATTCACATGGATTAAAGTAAAGTAAGGGAAACAATCGGGCTTGAACAAAAGAAGTCACTGGTGTCCAACTTTCACATTTCAATTGTACAGAAACACCGCAGCAAAAACATCTAAGAAATATCAAGGCAGCTAGATAACAATAACAGTAATATTAATAAATGTTGTTTGTAAAGCACCTTTCATTGCTCAAAGTAATCCCAAAGTGCTACAAGAGACGTAATAGACAAAAATAGACAAAGTGTTTAGTGACCAGACAAGTTAAACACATGATCAAAATGCAGAAGGATTGCTCAGGAAAAACGAAAAGAGTATTTATCTAATAATAATTTAGATGATTGGTATTTGTATAGAAGTGTATTACAGTTTTTTGGTAATGTCTAGTGAAGTCAGAACAACTTCCTGTTACATCGTGAAGAACGCGACGCAGCAGATTTCACATTCACAGTTGAAAGCAATTATGTTAAGTTCATATAGGTTTAACTTAATATTATTGCTTTCAACTAACCTAACAGTTTCAGTTTTTTTCAGTGTGCATATGTATAGACTTCACGGGCAAAGTTAGAGGTGGATCTGATTAACTTTAGTTGCTTAAAGTTTGATGGTATAGTAGTTTCCTGATGCCAGTAGTTGGCGCTCGGAATTTGGCTCAGAAAAAGAAAACATGTGAAGTTTGGTCGAGATAAAATATCGTTGAGTAGAGTTGCAACAGCTGAGAAGTGTTTTGAAATGTGTCACACACACACACACACACACACACACACACACACACACACACACACACACACACACACACACACACACACACACACACACACACACACACACACACACACACACACACACACACACACACATCAATGTTGTCGTCATTACATTGACTTACATGCATTTCCCGGAGACTTCTCCTAACCTTAACCATAACCAACACATGCCTAACCCTAACCCTTAACCTTACCCTTAACCTTACCCTAACCTTAACCAAGTCTTCACCCTAAAATGAATGATTCCCCTCATGGGAACCTCCATTATGTCCCCATAAGGGAGGCGAGTCCCCACACATGACTGTGTAAACAGATTTAGGTCCCCACAAGTATAGTAATGCTAGGCCACACATACACACACACACACACACACACACACACACACACACACACACACACACACACACACACACACACACACACACACACACACACACACACACACACACACACACACACACACACACACACACACACACACACACACACACACACAATGAGTACTTACCTAACCCTCGTCTTTTTCTAAACCTAACCACACCTTCACCAGAGTTTTGTCACGTCATAAAAATGAATAATGTTCCAGTACTTCAAATTTGATTATGTCAATGAAACAAATGTGTGTGCGTCATATTCATACCGCTGTCCTCATACTCTCCCTCCTTTCAGTACTTTTGACTGTCAAAGGAAAGCAAAAGTAGTCAAAATGAATACATAATAAAACAATTTAAAGAGAGAGAAGCAAAAGCAGTGGAAGAAAAAGTGAGAAGATAATTTGAGTTTTACTTTTAATTCTTCTAATATTCTCTATCTTTTAGTTACAATGTTGGGGTTTGGATTCCCTTTGGCATTTGGGTAATTATGACAGCTTTTCTTACTATTTCGCTTATTTTACAAACTAAACAAACAACCAATTGATTACTTAAGAAAATAATAGTATTCACATGAATCCTTAATTATAATCAGGTTGCTTATAAAAGTTATAAGTTCAAAATGAAATCCCCATCGACCAACTTCAACAGTACAATCTACTTTTAAATGTATAAATGATTAATAGTAATCTAATGATATAATATGTCTGCAACCACTACTATTTATAAATACTTATGGCTATTTTACTAATATATATTTAGACTGTAAGTGTAAATATGCACATTAGTACTTTTCCCACTTTAGTTCCGATATAGTTCAGAAATGTCGCGTTCACACCAAAAAAATCGGGAACTAAAATCAGTTCATGAGAACCTTTTTACCCCCTTTTCAGTCCCTGCTAGAGAGCAGGTACTTTCATGAGAGAAAAAGGTTCCCATTTCTGATTGGCTGGGCGGATTGCAAACCACGCCCCGTAAAACAAAAAGTTTGCTGAAGCCGCCATTTTATTATCCTCGCATTAGCATTATTAGCATTAGCATTAGCCCAGCGCAGAAACGCAGAGAGACTAACTTATGGCAACACAAAAGAAAACATGGGAGCGGTGGAGATGAGGAGGTGTCGGCGTTCTGGCGATTTACTCGGAAGGCTTCAGTAGAAGCTGCTGGGACTCGCAGTAGTCCCGCAGTCCCCAACTCCGGGGACTTCCGGCCGGGGACTTCGGGTGGCAGTATACGCCGTGAAGTTGTTTGCGGCCTGCCAGTAAACCCAAAGCAGAAGAAGAAGAAGTGACGTCAGCGGCTTTATTTGCCTAATCATCCCTCAGGGAACTTATTCCGGTGTGAACGCAATCTGTACTTAGTTCACGAGAACTAAGGAGTTCTCATGAACTAAGTACGGCAAAGTACTTGGTGTGAAAGCGCCTACTGACATTGAATTTGATATCATTTAACTGTCATCACTATTACCTCTGCTTTTACCACTCTTATTTATTTATTGTGTCTATTTTCTACTGCAGTGAGAGTTGCCAAAGAAATGTCGTTGTACTTTGTATGATGACAATAAAGATATATTCTATTCTATTCTTTTCTATTCTAATATATAATAGTATTACAGTTAAAGGGGACATTTTCATACTTTAAAGGGGCCCTATTCTGGAACTCCCTCTGTAGGGAAAACAGGGATTTTAGCCTTTGCAGACCATTTACATGCACTAAAACCCGTATAACACACAGCAGGAAAGGGAAACCCCCAAAAGCACAATAGGGCCTCTTTAAGTACGTTATCCTGGTTATCCTTACATCTTTTTTTAATTTTGTGAACTTTTGCTGTGACAGTGTTTGTCTGTGTATAGTTTTATATGTTCAGTGTCCAGTATCCTTCCTCCATTTAAAAGAAATGTAGCCATATTCACTGAATGTGCATATTTATTGTGATTAAATCTGAGCCGACATTATCCCCTGGATGTTGTGCCGATAAATCTCAAATGGACAAAGGGAAAAGAAAAGAGAGAAAGAACAGAAGAGAGGAGGAGAGAGTTTGACATGGAGAATATGGAGGGTAAGAGGATTGAGCGGGGGGGTGCGTTTGTTTTGCGTACCAGTCGGAGCAGTGTGTGAAATGTGAACTGTGTGTGTGTGAGTGTGTGTGTGTGAGTAGGGGAGGATCCTCTTGCTCTTAAAGCCGGGTCAGAAACAGAGAGATCTGCAGAGCTGAGAGTGAGAGGCACTGACAAGGGAACACACACTTTTACTGACTCTTGAACACACACAAACACACACACACACTCACAGAAACACAAACAATTGGCCTATTGTACACACACACACACACACACACACGCACACACGCACACACACACACAGACAAATACAGTTGTCACACACATACACATTTTGCTGGACCCTGGACTGACCTCTTAAGGATACGTCCCTCAGGATACTGTTTCCCATCATGCACCAGGGGGTCTCCACCCAGCAGGGGGTCTCTACCCAAAGGACTACTACTCAGGACGAAGGCTCATGGAGCTCCAGGTCGAGGAGGGGGTCTTTGTGCCGGAGCCTTTGCCCGCCGAGCGGAGCTCCTCTCTGGGCCTGGCTCCTGCTCGGGGCCCTGCTGGTTCCTGGAGCCTGGAGCTTTCTGAACGAGGAGCAGGAGGAGCTGCTGGTGGAGCTCCACAACCATTACAGAGGACAGGTGTCCCCCAGCGCCTCCGCCATGATGCCTCTGGTAAGACATTAGGAAGCCTCTCATATTAGCATTTTCTTGCATGACCCCAACAATTGACATCAATCAATAGACAGGAGTTAAAAAGACAAGTGAAATAATGAGCACTTTTCTTCGATGAAGTATCAGATAAAATACCTCTGATATGTAAGTTTCCTCCATTTGCTGCAAAGATAATCTGTAAAGGCATTTGGTTTTTATGTTGAGTCAGAATTCACTCGTTCAGGTGTCTTTTTGTGGGTAAATAATTCCTCGTAAAAAAGGGACATTAATGCTTTCTTAAGTTTCTCTTTGTGCAGATACTTGATATGAAGCGTACAGTCGGTTTGAGTCTCACGAAAGATTTAATTCGATTTTTTAAAAAGTGGTACAGCACTGCATATCATATTCACTAACATATTATATACAGAAAATGACAGGAGAAACCTTGCAAGCAACACAAATAATGAGAAGAAAGATGTATATATAAATATATACATATACCATTAGATAGGCCATTAGATAAGCAGGACTTTATAAAGCGAGGATGATAGGCTCAATAAGGGCGGTCAATCAAATAGATAAGACACTTTTTTAAAGTATGAAACAATAAATGAATGGAGTCCAAAGCACCCAATAACATCAAAAGAGCCAGAGGAAACAGTTTAAAGTCCCTGAAGTCATGATTTAAATTCCAAGAGAAGACCACATTCTGCAGTTTTTAATTTAATAATAGATGGTTTCAGTCAAAAGAAGAAGTTTTAAATGAAACTGTTGACAGTGAACTTCACTCGGAGTAATCCACAGAGGTCAGAAACAGATGCTGCTTTTGAGTTATACTAATCTAATATGTCAGGGTTTGGAGCACCATGAATCCTTGAGTCATTGAGCCTAATTATGTGGGGATGGTCTGATATCTGCTAACCTCAGCGAGTCACACTGCAGGTCTTTGTGTGTGACGGGGAAATACATATCTGGACTTTTTTGATAACATATATCCTGAATATTGTGTTTTATTGTTACTTTATGGGGTTTTTCCCTTTCCTGTAGTGTGTTACATAGGTTTGTGTGCATGTAAATGGTCTGCAAAGGATAAAATCCCTGTGTTCTGTGCCTCCATTGACTCCTTTGGGACATCAATGTATAACTTTTTTTTTGGTGCTTTTATTGGCTAGCGCTCCAACACATTGTACGTGATAGGCTAAGGGGCGGGACGTCTCTAAACAGTTGACCAATCGCAAAAGAACCGGCCAGCTAACCAATCAGAGCAAATTGGGCTCTGGTTTCAGACAGAGGGTGAAAAGAGGTGCTGCAGCACAGGCAGTATGAGAACAATAAAGAGCTTTTTGAACATTAAAGCATGCAGACATGTCACAGTACAGACACTAGATATGAGGAACCTGAAAATGAGCATAAAAGGGCCACTTCAAAGGCTGCATTACGGTAAAGTGATGCTTTTTTTCAAACTTAATTTAACTGTTTCATTATCTGTCTTCACCAAATTAAGTCATCATATCCACATTTATCAAAAAATCTCATTGTGTACTGTAATTGTTTAATGAAAGCATCAATAGTCAACCACGCAATATCTATACTGAGGTATTTGCTCAGAGATAGCGTGATATTGGATTTCATTCATATTGCCCAGTCCTATGATTGGGTGACCAGCACCTTGAAAATAGAAAATAGGTAATTGTACTCATAAAACTTGCCAACTAAGGACGGAGGGATACAACCGCTTTCCAAACACTGTAAATCTCCAAATGTCGGACGTTTTTGGTACCAAATCACAGCATGACTTTTGAATATAGTGTTCCTCAAGATGTTAGGGGTATTAGTACAGTATGGCCTTTTCAAGCTCATTCTGACCAATTCTTCAGTGATCAACATGTTTAAACTTAGCAGCAAATCTTTGTAAGAACGAAGTGGTAATGATGCAACAACTCATGAGATATATTTAAGCATGAGGATATACCTGTATCATTAAAGGTGGGGTAGGTAAGTTTGAGAAACCGGCTCGAGATACACTTTTTGTTATATTCCATGGAATGCTCTTAACATCCCGATAGCAATGAATATCTTAAGTGCTTTGACAAAAAATCCATAAAAAAATGTCATCTGTGGAAGCCGTAGTACTGTAAAAAGCACGACCAATTATTTTAGCCGGCCCGACTAAAATAACTGGATGGCCTCCCTGCCTGTCAGCCTTCCATCTGTGCACAAACTTATCTCGTGCCCTCATTGGTCATGTGGGCGTTCGTGTGTGTTGGAGGAGGGGCTCTGTAAGGAAGTGGCAGATTTTTTCCGGCTGTGTATTTTCAAATTCTTGCGCACTCGAGCTGGTTTCTCCAAAATGACCTACCCCACCTTTAAGCTCTAAGGACTTATAAACATGTAACATCTACATTTGCATGGTTTTGGTGCCTAATCAAACCATAACGTTTATCACAGATTAATAATTTGAGAACATTGACACTCAGTACTGAGCTGTCCCTCAGTTAATCTGTAGCTCCCAGCTGATGCATACCACTTCAAATATGTTTTTGACCTGCATTATCCTGCTAAATATCGCCCCCCCGTATAAAAGACAACATTTGGTCTATGTAGGTCTCTAAGGGATGCCATTATATTGCAACAAATGAATATATGCAATAAAGTGACACTTTTATCACTATCATTAAACTGTGAAGAACACAACTGCCTATTCTGAATGTAAAACTCAACTAAAAGAAATCAACATGTTTCCACAAAGATTAAATAATTTAGTTTTTTTAAAGATGTTCTCGGAGATGTCCCTCCATATTGTTTTCTAATTGTCTCCAGCTGTTTTGTTTCTGTGGTGCATTGTGTTGTAGTGAGAACAGTGTCTAAACATTGTCGGGGACAAGAGGAAGGAGGAGGTAGACACAAAGGAAAGGAGACAAGGGAACAGGAAGTCAACCGTAAATAAAACTATCTTACTGTTTCATCTTTTATTTTATAGCGTGAAATTATACTATTCAGTTTTCCAAACAGAATCTCTGGAGCAGTTTGCTGCGTTTGTCTGAAACTTGCTCTGTCTTGTTTGAATTATCTTTGTTTGAATCTGTTTTCACGTCCCTTAACAACATCCTCTTGTTTTTCCATTTCTCTTCACTAGTCACCTCTCTTTCTTGGACAGGACTTTCACTTGTACAGAGGATGTTGTTGGTTTTAAAACTGTTACTGAAGTTCAAGATCTGAGTATTTAGTCAAAGTATTAACCCTAAATGTAGGTTATTAATTAGTCTATTATGGCTCCAACATACTGTTACGGCCTGGCTCATAGGCTGCAACAAAGAAGGGAGACCAGACAAGTTAAGTGTAACAAAAGCATATTTATTTACAATACCACAAAAACCAAAGGTCTTCAAAGAAACCTAATAAATGTGGAAGTCAGTTATCAGTAATGATTGCGTGAATGGGTGTGTGAAAATGTGCAGAAACAAAGACGCGGCCAGTATGGGTTAGTGTTGGCCTTTTATGTCGACGGCCCAGGTGTGGCTCATCAGGTTGATCACCTGAAACACAAACAAGAGCCAGCAAGCAGAACACAAAGGCATAGACCCCTAGTGGAGTGGAGGGGGTCGTAACAATACTAATAAATAAATGTACTGTGAATTACTTTTGGACCAAACTCTTTGTCCTAAAGGGATTTTCAAGATGTTTTCCATTCGTCACGACATTGCTTCTGACTTGTCTTCAGTTTGTGACTCTGGGTTGGATTTCAGGTGAACTGACGGTCAGATGAAATCTCTGAGTGGGAGCTCGGGCAGGTTGGAGCTGGCGGGATGTTTTGGTTTGGTCGGTGGACCAGAGAGAAGCTGTTTTAACTCTTTATGGAGATGTGAGGATGTGCTTTTATGGCTGTGGATGTCAGAAAATACTTTTACATTGGTGTACGAGTGTGGTCGCTTGGATCGAATTACAACATCTTCCAAAACCTGTTTTTAAAAGCTTGTGTAACTTTGGGGTGACATTACATTTACACTATAGTTGTGTCCTCTTGCTGTCAATATACAAGTACACATATATTGTCTGTAAAGATCTGAGACCCTGATTGAATTGGATCACTGACAGGTGAAACATTTCCAACAAGGTGGTTTTCACACTGTGGAGATAAGTGTGCCAGAAGAGGATGATGAAAGGATTCCTCTTCATCTGAACCTTCATTTTATTACAGAGATAAGTATCACATCATCTAAAAAGAACGTCAAAACCTATTCGGGTCGGACTCAGCTTGGACTAAACTTGATTTGTTTTAAAGTTTAAAAGAATATATACCCATCAATGTTTGCACTGATTCTCCAAAGAGCTCCGAAAGACTTTCTCTAAATGCCTTCCGGTTAGCAAGCTTGTGCAAACACTCAGAAAACCTGCGTCTGCAAGATAAAAAAATATGCGCAAACAAAACCACAACAAACATGTAAAGCTAATCTCTTAAAGGTGTAGCTACCTGGAGAGTTGCCTTGTTTCCCTTTGGTGCAAACATGACATTTTAAAGATATTTACGTTCCAGCCCGATTACATTCATCGCAGATCTGCCCCATTGTGGATCTCCTTTTTAATCCTTGATATTCATTTAGCATGCACACAACTATGTTAACAATTCAGCTCATGTTAAAGCTATTTGTTGTTGAACACACATAATTAAAAACCAAGTGTCAGTGCTGTACAGAGGGTAAGATTAGCACCAAATGTTGTGCAGGTGATCCCAAGACAACGTATCCTGAGAATCTCTTTCAGTTTCATGAACATGCGTGTTCCCCTCAGGATGAATTTTAATACATGTGCTGAACCTCCTGCAGAATTTTCATCTAGCGCCATGATCAGGTCTGTCAACATTATAATGCAAATGGAGGCGTGTGGTGCAGTGGGTTGTGCGTTGGTGTTCTGATCAGGGGGTCACAGGTTCAAACCCCTCTGCAGTCAGCATGTCGTTGTGTCCCTGAGACACTTCACCCCAAATTGCTCCTGTGGGGATTGTCCACAGTATTGAGTATGTA